TATATATATATATATATATATATAATTTTTTTATTTCTCAAAAGTGCTGTTTCTTTATTTGTAAAACTCTAAAAATCTGTGTCTGTGTGCTGTTAGTTTCTCTGTTTAAATGCAACAGCTTGACACTGGACAGCACATGAACTCGCTACATATTTGGGAAAGCAGCGGGGCAGGCGCTGCGTCATCACGTTCTTCTGTTGCTCCAGCTGTAGCACAGCAACAATCTAAGTAACGCACCAGTGAACTTATTACAGGTTCAGTCCTACTTAATTGTCTTGGTTAGTTACTGGTGTGGTTAACTTAGGCTACATGTCTTGATCAAACACATAATTTGCGAGCTCGGATTTGAACCAACAACCTTACAGTTACCAGTCCGGTTCTTTAACCACTAGTTTGTTGTGAAACCGCAATCAGTCCCAAAATCCAGGAGTGGTGAAGCTGTTAAGGAGAAGTTCAGCAACTCATAAAAACTTTAACCCCTCTGAAGTTCACGTACCCTTCTGCGCCCGCGAGCTTCTGGCACCGAGGAGAAGGATGAAGAGGATCAGGATGGAGACCGCAGCCCCTCCGGTCCCTCTGCCCACCATTACCGACGCGTCCATCCCAGCAGCCTGCAGTCCGAATGCATAATGCAAAAGTGTCCTGATCGAGTCACAGTCCTGATAAGTGCGCGCGAGTGAGTGTGTGTTTAGTATCAGGATGGTTTATTGACGCTTCCTGGACTCTTGAGCGGCACACTGTTAGAACAAACACGGGCTCTTCATTCCCCGATCTACTACACGACTTCCTCAACTTCCGCTCCTCCCACCACACAGCGGCCCCTAGATGGGGATTCTGTGGTATTCCATACATTGTTGTGGATAAGGAGAGTTCAGTGGTTTGTTTTTGGTTTACGGAAAGATGTGCTCGGAACTAAATATCAACAAAACGCGAAAAGACACGAGTGAAAATAAATTATTATTATTATTAGACTAGCTGTTTTATATGAAGACTGTAATATGTGCATACATGTATATTTTTATGGCCATATTGTTGTTACATATTTAAAATAGCAATAATACTGACTATAATATTAATAAGTTTAAATTATTATTATTAGGTCTATTAATGAGATAGCTGACATTTTATATTAAGACTTTAAAAGCTGTGCATAAATTAACATTTTATATGGCTTATTGATAGGCTAGGTAATGATTTATTAAATAATAATAATAATAATAATTACATTTCATAGGCTACATTTTCATATTATTATTATTATTATTATTATTATTATTATTACTACACCTAAAATGACAAAACAGACCAAATATTTATTTTAAATACTGACAAATGGAATTCACTTTAATAAATTAATGAATTGAGACTTTTATTGCTCAATCTATTTAACCTGTCAGACATCAAATGTATCTTGACATAGGCCTATTATGAATATCACACAGTAGCCATTTTGTTTTTCTGGTTGACATCATGGTTGTATGATATAAGATGATAAGCAAATTTACCTAAAACTATTAAACTCACCACACTCTGTTTGACCTTGTTTAACTCATAGCTGGTGAAATATAGAGGACCATCGAGATGAAGGCCATCTTTGATTTTGTAAATGAAACATTAAAAAAGAGGTATACTGTAAAAGCATCTGTTACAAATATAGAAATCTTTCTTTTAAAGATCCATGTTTACATTTCTGTTTAATGTCTGTTGAAGGAGCTCAGTCACTTGAGTTCACTTGAGGCTGGTGGCTTTATAATGTCCAATTTCTCAAAGAACCACAGAAAGACGACTTATGACTGGAAGCTCACATCTGTGAATATGAAATTTTGCTAAAATAATTATAAGATCAACTATAAATGAAATCAGTGGTTTGGAGGTTTTATTTCACATTCCCTTACAAATGAAAAAGAGTGGAAAGCATATTTTACACTACATTTCAAGCTTTCAGTTTCTATGAAGAGCCTTTGGGTAGTTTTAATACATCTACATGGACTTTGATTGTTACCACAAACATAAAATTAGTGCACATTTCATGTTACTTTCCACTTTAACATAAAAACGGTCAACCTCAGCACAGATAGGCCTACCATAAAGAAGTATATCTCCACAAAAACGAGTTTAAAATGGAAACAAAATGTCACAATCTCTTCTGAGTATTTGCAGACGATTAATATAATAAAACAGGACTTCTGTTTTTGATGTAAATAACATGTGTTCTCTTTTAAATGCTTCACACGAACTGATTTGTTCCTTTTCTTCAAAATATCAGAGAAGGGTTAAAGTTGTGTATGTTTTCTCCCCTGGACCGGATTCTTCTCTCTCTCTCTCGTATTGTTTGTCGCTAAATCTAATTTCCTTTCTTTCTGTCCTTGGGATAGCTCAGTGGTGAATCAGAGTCCTTCAGCCAAGGCTGTTATCTTTTGTCTTACAGCAAGGTCTGCTCTGCTCTGCACGTCCACGTTCACGTTCTCAGTGTGCGGGGACATCGGAAATAGCAGAGAATCATAAATATTAACGCTATGACCCCACCTAGTGGTAAAATACTCCTTGTCATCTAGTTACATTTTTAAAAGCACACGACTGCCACGCCGTGGAAATACGAGATAATGCAAGCAGTCTGTGGCCCCATAACAACAATAATAATAGCAATAATATTTATTTATTTATTTATTTTCATTATGTGACACTAAAGACTAGAGTAATGGCTGCTAAAAAATCAGCTTTGCCATCACAGGAATAAATTACATTTTAAAATATATTAAAATAGAAAACAGTTTGAATCGAATTAATCTGATGCAATAATATTTTTAAGTGTGGCTTAAGTGTCCAAATACTTTTTGGGACACTGTATCAAAGATAATCTTCCACTGATAGATTGGTGCTATAATCTTTGCGCTGTTTAACAGTCTGTTAGAAACATATTCTTGACCTAAAACGATTGTTTTTGAGTCTGTCTGTTCTTTTAAGTCTGATTTTGGGTTAATGTGGGTCAGAGATGTCTGCTATGAGGGAGTGAGTTGATAAAAGTTCAGACGTGTCACACTATTCTGTCCTGCCGTGTATGTCGAACACAGATCCCATTTTTTCCTTTGTGCTTTCCAATAATTTTTTATTTCTCTTCGTCTAGCTTGCTGGATATTTCTGGCATTCTTTAACTTCACACTTAAGTAGCTCAAAAAAAAAGTAGCATGGCACTTTTACATAACGTTTTGGAAATCATGGTGTTCTATGAAATACCTTAGAATATCATGTAAATAGTTATTGTTGGGTATCTGAAAATGAACCTGTTAATTAATCCAAATTGTTCTATTGTCTTTCTTCACTGGTTTTAATTGACGTGGTCTAGAATTGGACACTGAAAGGTAGATTTTTTTGTCTGGGTCTTTGAGGATCTCAAGCTTGGTCTGGATCTCTAACTTTGATTACAATATGTATCATGGTCTTTCGCATATATGTGTAATACCATACACACCATATACAGGTGCATCTCAATAAATTAGAATGTCGTGGAAAAGTTCATTTATTTCAGTAATTCAACTCAAATTGTGAAACTCGTGTATTAAATAAACTCTATGCACACAGACTGAAGTAGTTTAAGTCTTTGGTTCTTTTAACTGGGATGATTTTGGCTCACATTTCACATCTACCAGGAAATTTTTGAGCACTTCATGCTTCCTTCTGCTGACAAACTTTATGGAGATGCTGATTTCATTTTCCAGCAGAACTTGGCACCTGTCCACACTGCCAAAAGCACCAAAAGCTGGTTCGATAACCATGGTGTTACTGTGCTTGATTGGCCTGCAAACTCACCTGACCTGAACCCCATAGAGAATCTATGGGGTATTGTCAAGAGGAAGATGAGAGACACCAGACCCAACAATGCAGATGAGCTGAAGGCCACTGTCAAAGCAACCTGGGCTTCCATTACACCTGAGCAGTGCCACAGGCTGATTGTCTCCATGCCACGCCGCACTGATGCAGTAATTCATGTAAAAGGAGGCCCAACCAAGTATTGAGTACATGTACAGTAAATTAACATACTTTCCAGAAGGCCAACAATTCACTAAAAATGTTTTTTTTTATTGGTCTTATGAAGTATTTTAATTTGTTGAGATAGTGAATTGGTGGGTTTTTGTGAAATGTGAGCCAAAATCATCACAATTAAAAGAACCAAAGACTTAAACTACTTCAGTCTGTGTGCATAGAATTTATTTAATACACGAGTTTCACAATTTGAGTTGAATTACTGAAATAAATGAACTTTTCCACGACATTCTAATTTATTGAGATGCACCTGTACATATTACATGTTACTCAAAGGGACTTCAAAGAATACTGTGTCACTACACAATACAATTTATTTTAATTTTTTTAGCCTTTAAGCACAAGACTTGATAAACTGCTTTCTGATCTTTTTAAGGCACTCCGCCTCATTAGCTAAGAAAAGACAAAGTGAGGCTCCTCTGCCTCTCTGACCTCTGAGAGTCGGCATTGATCATCAGCACCCCGGTGGCCAATTCAGACAGTCTATAAAACAAAGAGCTCAGCAGAGCAGTGCAGAACACGTAGATCACACGGTCTGTGTTTCAGCAGTGCTCTGCAGCTGGGAGACATGAGCACATCAGTCACAATACTCAGAGCTTTGAGCGTTTCATCAAATAGTAGACATAGGGACCCAGAATATTTAATGGGCTCCGGCTGTGTTCAATACTGTTCACTTTTGCCCACCTTTAAATATTTAGATAATATTCTAGATAACAATATTGCCTTTTAAATCCTATCTTGATAATTTCGTTGAAAAAATTAGTGAGGTTTATATTTTAGAAATATATCAGTAACAAGAAATGTTGTGATCATTTACACTGCTGATTCTTCATTACTGATGCCTGACACAGTTAATTAGCTGTGTTATGATTTATTTCTGGATGTAGACTACAGGTTTTACTCATCTCATGTGGGAAGTTGTGGCCTAATGGTTAGAGAGTCGGACTCATAACCCAAAGGTTGTGGGTTCGAGTCTTGTACTGGCAGGGATTGTAGGTGGGGGGAGTGAATGGACAGCACTCTCTCCCACCTTCAATACCATGACTGAGGTGCCCTTGAGCAAGGCACTGAACCCCCAACTGCTCCCTGGGCACCGCAGCATAAATGGCTGCCCACCTTTCCGGGTGTGTGTTCACGGTTTGTGTGTGTTCACTTTGGATGGGTAAATGCAGAGCACTAATTCTGAGTATGGGTCACCATACTTGGCCACATGTCACTTCACTTTCACTTTTTTTTTCACTTTCACTTTATAAATACTGGTCAATTGATCCCTATGGCTGTTAAATTGCTACATCTTTTTTTTATTTTATTTTATTTTTATAAAGCACTAATTGGTTTGCTGGCTTCATATCTAACAATATGTGTTCATTTTCAATGCAGTTTAAATTACTTAACTTACAATAAGATGGTATATTATGGGCTTCCGATGCCTATGCCTATACAGAGTTTGAAAGGAAAGAACCCTTTCTTCTTGAAAGATTGTAGGTGGGGGGAGTGAATGGACAGCACTCTCTCCCACCTTCAATACCATGACTGAGGTGCCCTTGAGCAAGGCACTGAACCCCCAACTGCTCCCTGGGCACCGCAGCATAAATGGCTGCCCACCTTTCTGGGTGTGTGTTCATGGTTTGTGTGTGTTCACTTTGGATGGGTAAATGCAGAGCACTAATTCTGAGTATGGGTCACCATACTTGGCCACATGTCACTTCACTTTCACTTTTTTTTTCACTTTCACTTTATAAATACTGGTCAATTGATCCCTATGGCTGTTAAATTGCTACATCTTTTTTTTATTTTATTTTTTTTTATAAAGCACTAATTGGTTTGCTGGCTTCATATCTAACGATATGTGTTCATTTTCAATGCAGTTTAAATTACTTAACTT